CCTCCTCCTCCTCCTCCTCCTCCTATTCCCCTCCTCCTCCCCCCCCTCCCCCTCCTCCTCCTCTCCTTCTCTCCCCCCCCCTCCTCCCTCCCTCCTCGTGCCCCCCGCCCTCGCCTTTCGCTCCCACCCCTCTCCCTCTCCTATTGTCCCCTTCCCCCGCGCTCCTCGTCGTCGTCATCGTCGTCGTCGTCGTCGTCGTCGTCGTTCTCCCTCCTCCTCCTCCTCCTCCTCCTCCTCCTCCTCCTCCTCCTCCTCCTCATCCTCATCCTCATCCTCATCCTCATCCTCATCCTCCTCCTCATCCTTCCTGGGCGTTTTCGGCCCCGTTCCCATAATACGTTTTGGTTGCTGCGGTTGAGCGAGTTTCGCCGCTCGTGGCTCCCGCCGTGGGGCCCGAACACTCGAAGCTTTAGTCGCACGGTAGGTTGCAATTCCTGGCAGTTTGCTCTGGCAATGTGTTTAGTTCGAGTGTGCTCGACTTCGGCCCGATGTTGTTTCGTCTTCGCCGCCACCTCCTCCTCTTCTTGGCGCAGTCTCTGCCGGCGCAGCTGCCTGCGGTAAGCCCTGCCAGCGTGACCGCGCAGAGTCGGCACGCAAGCAACACATCCCTGCCGAGCTCACTCTGCATGGCTCGGTGAGCCGTGCGGGACGCTGCGCAACGGTGCCGTAGCGCGGCCTGGCCGTTAGGCGTGATTGTCGGAGTGCTTCGACCGCCATGGGCAGCGCGTGCCAGGTGCAGCCTGCCAAGTACTTGAGGCACGCAACGTGACGGAGGCATGCAACGTGAGCCACATCGCGCCGCAAACTAGCTGGGGTAGGCAGGTGTCCAATCCGTGCGGCGGCGGATGCGGCGGACGAGCGTGGGGACCAGCGTGCGCCCCAAGTCAACTGGGACGCCCGCCGACGGAGAGCAGCATGGAATGGCACCGCGCGGGGATGGCGCCGCAGGTGGGCAGGCGGCTGGGTTGTTTTTATGTCTTCCATCGTTGCGCAGCTACATGTTATGAACACTATTCTAGGCGCTTCGCGCAACCCCACTAGCCAATCCAGAAACGATGCTCAAACGAGTTGCCCTGACCAGGGATGTGGAGGAGAACGCAGTGGAATTAATGGCGTGTAATAAAGGTCTGGGTAAGACGACGTACGCTTAGAGGGGGAGGATGGAGGAGGAATCGGAGGAGGAGCAGGGGCAGGAGCAGGAGCAGGAGCAGGAGCAGGAGGAGGAGGAGGAGGAGGAGGAGGAGGAGGAGGAGGAAGCGGAGGAGGAGGAGGAGGAGGAGGAGGAGGAGGAGGAGGAGGAGGAGGAGGAGGAGGAGCAGGATGAGGATGATGATGAGGAGGAGGAGGAGGAGGAGGAGGAGGAGGAGGAGGACCAGTGTAAACTCAAGACCCAACAACGGTATTGGAGTAAATCCTCCCTCCAAGCTCCCTCTTCACAGGCCCCTACAATGGTTCATGTTTGCTCCCCGTTCGGAGACGACCGTTGAAAGATCCCGAAGCGTGCCAGAACACGAATTCTGGAACTTCAGCGCCACGAAGCCACGAGGCAACCTGATTGTTGCGTCTTCTCGATCGCTCCAGAACGCCATTGTGGGGACCCTCACCCGCGAACCAACGTAACTACTGCGCCATGGTCCTGGGTCATGTCAAAGCACCATCTCTGGTACGTTAACCATGGGATTCAGTGAAACTCTTGCGAAGTTTCCAGACGAATGTGCGCGGCGCTGAGGCGAGAGCCACATTTTGAAAAGGATCCGCCCTCAATCCGCGAAGCTCCTGCTCCTTTCTGGCAGATGTGCACGGCGCCCCGCCCTCAGCCCGCGACGCTTCTGCCACTTCAGCCCTCCCTTGGATGGGTTCTCGGTTTGGAAAGAGTGGGGTGCCGACTCCCTTCCCCCTCTCCTCCCGCCCCGTCCCCCCTCCCCTCCCGCTCTCCTCGTGGCCCTTCTTCTGGCTCCGGCCTGGCGCGGGTCTTCGGGCACCTTTTTGGGCACGGAGCTCGCCGCCCGCTCCTGGCTCCTTCCCGGCGCGCCGCGCGTGTCACATATATCGGCTGGCGGCCTGCTGCCGAGGGGCCTCCCGGAGGCCCTCTCCGCGCCCGCGCGCTGCGTCTGCTTGGTAGCCTTCGGCGGCGCGGGCGGGGCGGGGGCTGGTGGGGAGGGGCCGTGCGCGCCGTCTCGCGCCTCCCAGTCGGGGCTCCCGCTGGGGGGGCGAAGTCTTTCTGCAGGGCCGCGTGCCAGACGGGAGATGGCGGTGGCGTCAGCTCCTGCGGAGGCGGCAACGGCCGCGGCGTCTGCCCGCGCGCCGTCGTCGCCACTGCCCCCTGCCGCTGGCAGGGAGCGCTCGCAGTGCAGGGGCTCGTCGGGCCCCTCGAATCCAGCCCCCCGGGGACGCCTTGGGAGGCCATCGTTTTGCCACCTTCTTGCCCGCGCCGGCGGAAGGCAGGCTTGCGGCGGTTGGCGTGTCACTCCTCCGCATAATAGTGCGCAGTCGGTCCCAC